CAAAGATTAGACTGGACTATAAGACATAAAAGGATACTCGTGAAGAGTGTGCTTCTTAGCTCAAGACTAAATGGGCAGCTCCCGTCTGGAGGCGAGATGAAAAGGCAGAAAGGGACCGGAGCTGACTGAACGGACACAGGAAATCCAGGGTAGAAAGGAGTGTGCTGTCCCAGTATAGGGAAAGCAACTGGGGCCACATAACAATGTGTGTATAAATTTTTGTATGAGAAACTAACTTAAACTGTAAACTTTGACTTAAAGCACAATTAAAAAAAAAAACCAGTAGCCATCCAAACAAGATACATCAATGGCCAACAAACACATGCTCACAACATTAAGTCATTAAGGAAATAATGAAATTCAAAACCACAATGAGGTACCACTTCATACACACTGAAAAAACCAAACCCATTGCCATCGAGTCGATTCTTACTTACAGCGACCCTACAGGACAGAGTAGAACTGCCCCACAGGGTTTCCAGGGAGTGGCTGGTAGATTTGAACTGCTGACCTTTTGGTTAGCAGCCACACATTTAAACACTGGGCCACCAGGGCCCCCCAAAATTGAGAACTAGTAGTCAAACAAATATATGTACACAGATTTGGAAAGCAGCACTATTCACAATAGTCAAATAATGGGAACAGCCCAAATATTCATCAGTAGATGATAAATTATAAATATACACAATGGAATATTATCCAGCCATAAAGAGAAATAATAATTCTGATCTATATTATGACATAGATGAACCCTGAAAACCTTATGTTGCGTGAAATAAGCCAGACAGAAAAGGATAAATATTGCATGAGCCCATGTATATGAGATACCTAGAACGGACAAGTACGTACAGACAAAAGTTTATTAGCGTTTAGCAGGAGTTGGGGAGAGCAGGGAATGGGAAGCTATGGCTTAAGGGGTATTGAGTTTCTAGTTGGAATGAGAAAACTTTTGGAAATGGAGAGTGGTGATGGTAGTATAACATTGCAAATACAATTAATGCCAATGACTTGTGCACACTTAAAAAACAGTTAAAATGACAAACTTTTTGTTATATACATTTTACCACAATAAAATTAAAAAAAAAAAGAGAGTACTGCCTGGTTGTTTTCCTGAGGTTGTTATGAGACACAAATACATAACATGTCCTGTAAGCTGGAAAGTACCAAATGTGTGTAGATCTATCTTCTCATAGGTTTTGTTCAGTAGAACCCATATTGGTCAAAGGTGTGAATCAGGATACATACCAGTGATCCTGGGGTCTGCACCCCACGTCTTGCTTGCCTTTCTTCTTTGAAGTGCATCAAACTCTCCAAAGGGGAGATGGCAACTTTTATCTGCCCCTGGCACTCTCCACTGAAGTCTGTGATGTTGTACCAGCCACAGACAAACTGGAAGCCAGACAGAAGTGGGGACAGGTCCACTGAGGCAAAGCCAATCACCCTTTCTTCATCTGTGAGAAAAAGAAAAGAGGTGGGCATGTCCACTGAAATTAGATGCTGCACACAGAGAAGCAGAGTCAGAGACTGGGCGAGTTCAGTGATTCTACAGCCATCAGACAAGACAGATAATAAGGATGAGAGAGACAGGAAACCAGAGCCTGTTTTGGCAATTATGAATTCCCTTTCTGTATGGCTTTGTTGAGCTTTGAACACTTGATATAGCAATTGAAAAGCACCTCTAAACATTAAGAAATCCTTGCTGTTTTCCCTGAGCAACACATTCAAATGACTTTCCTCAGGGAGTGAGTCTTCAAAAAAATCTTTGGAAGGACCACCATTCTTGGAATGATGAGGGAGTTTATATTTTCCTATTTATATCCATCTGTCCTCACATCTTATTCTTCTGAGTCATCCAATCTTACCAGCACCGTGAAGTACAAACAGTGAAGGTGTACAGCCAGTCACAGCTGGGTTCAAATTCTGGCTCTACTACTTAATAGCTAGGTATATGATCTTAGTTAAGCCACAAAACTTCTTTGGGCCACAGCTTTTACAACTATAAAATTGGACTAATTATATTTTTACCTTGCAGGATTAGAGATGTCTGTAAAGCTCTTAGTACACTGCCATTCACTTAAAAAAAAAAAAAAAAAAGCACACCAAAAGCTGAGATGGTGTTTACTAAGTGTCAGGCACTCATTTAATTCTCCCAAAAGCCCTATCAGGTAGTCCTATTATTATCCTCATTTTCTACATAAGGAAACTAAAGCACGGTGGTTAAGTTATTTACCTGCGGTCATACTGCTATATAGTAAGGGACAGAGCTGGCATGTGAATCCAGCAAGTCTGGCTTCAGAGTCTATGCTCTTAACACTACTGTACTCTACCTCTTAATAAATGGTTGCTGAGCAAAAATGGGTTCAAGGACTATGATGTCAGCACCTCCCTCATGGGGAGTGTCTTAAAACAAAGACAGACTAGCTGTCAGACTCTAGTCTTCGTACTGCTTGAAAATGCTAGCATGTTTGTTAATAAGCCAGAGTCAACAGAAGGCATAATAAACAAAGCGGGCAGAAACCACTTGTGTGTGACATGTTGTACATTATGTTTGTTGACTGATACAAACAAAATGATCTCTAAGAATTTAAATCCCAAAAGAGAAGCCTAAAGAGCATGGCATTTTGTGGGATTACCCTCTAACACATACATGCGTGCCCAGCACCATCACTGCCACAGTTTCACTTGGTTAGATAAAGAAAAGGACTGTAAATTGTCAACAGGATGTGAGCTTATTTTACGAGACAGATACTCATGGAATGGAGTTCATACCTCCTTTATGCCAAACTTTAAAGACCAGGGTCTGTTGTGGGTCCAGAAGAAGCTCTTTTGATAACCTATTAAGAAAAACAACCACCATATATTAACTGTAAGGAAGCTTCTGTAGTATGAGACTTAGATTTGAAGAATCTCTTGCAGTTTTCAAAGCACTCTCTCAAACACCATCTCATTTTATCTTCATGGCCACCCTCTAGGATTGATTTTTATCTTCAGTTAAAATGAGGAGATGGAAGCTCAGAGAGGTCAAGTAACTTTCCAAGACTTGAAAACAGGTTCACATGATTTAGTGCTTTCCCCATCCCTCCCAATAATTTCTGCCACATTCAAACTCTGTTTCTCTAAGACAGAGGAGGGAGTGTGCAAAGGGAGCTCCTCTACATATAATAAACAGTTTTATTGGAACAGGTGAGTATTTATGCTATGGGGGTGGGAGGATGGTGAGAAGGGAGGAATAGGATAAAAGGGACATTTTATGAGTGCTTACCTTAGGCCAGGTATGGAGACAGGTGTTTCACATACACTTAATCTTTATAAAACTATGACGTGGGTATTTTTACCCCTATCTTACAGATAGTGAAGTTGGTCTCAGAGAGGTAAAGTGACTTGCTCAAGGTCACATAAGAGGCAGTAAGTGGCAGGGCTGGGATCTGAACCCTGGTTTGCCTGACTCCAAAGCCACAAGGCAAGGTACCCAAATAAGAAAGTGTTCAACTTTCATACCAGATAAAGAAGTTGACATGGGATTCACTAAGTACCTCTAATAACTGTATATTAAGTGAATTAAACAGTTTTAAATTACAAAGATTTGAAAAGCATCAAACTAAGTGTCACTTCTCTAGGTGAGCAAGATGGAGATTTAGGGAAAATGAAAAGGCTAATTTCCTATATCTCTTCCACAAATTCCACTGGGGAACTGAAGAGGGCCTATTTCAAGACCAAGAGGCAGTGTGCTGAAGTGAAATGAATACTATGCCAGAGATCTGAATTCTAGCTGTGAGTCAAAAGACCCACCTTTGAATTCCAGCTCTGCTATTATCAGCAAAGTGACCCTGGGCATGCACCTAGTCTCTTTGAACCTTGGTCTTCCCATCTGTTAGATGGGATAATATGATCTACCTTGAAAGGTTGCTAGGCGGGTCAAATAAAACAATTCTGTGATAAAGGAATTGTAAACAGTATAGTATCATCATTCTTCTAGTCCTGCCCCTGCTACCAACAGACCATATAGACTCCCTGGAGACTGCTAATGTCCCTTCATCAAGCTTGTAAAAACTTAGAGTCTGAATAAACAAAGCACCTTTGAGAGTCAGAAGAAGCTCACCCCTCTTGTCTCCTGCCTTTTGGCTACTATGGCTGGAATAGCTATAATTTTCTGTAGTTCACCATTGATAGTACTGAGTTTTCACTGCAATTCTAGCTGCTGACTCAGGCCGGTCTCTCAAATTACGAACACTGAACATGTGAGCAATTGGTGAGACTTAAATATGCAAACACTATGAGAAAGAACAGATCAGGCACCATGTGGTATGGTTTGTGCTGGCAGACAAGAATTAAACTTTATACAACATGATGCAGTGCAATGAAAACAGTAACAATAATTAGTTTTAGAGACCATTTATAATGATGACTGGTGATAAAGAAAAGGGAGGACCAGCCCTGTACCCCCCAGTAGCGGGCTTCCTATGCCAGCCCCCTATCTCTGAGCGGTACTGCAACATGACTGATGGGACTCTACCTCGTATTTTTTGAGGTTTCCAAAGGAGATCTAACATTTGTTGTGTACCTACTGTGTATCATAAGGTAATTTTTCTAAATGTCATCTAATTTGGGCCTCACAACAACCCTGTAAAAATTATCCCTACTTTACAAATGAGAAATCTGAGGCTCAGAGATGCTATGCAATTTGTTCACAGAGATAGGAAATGAAATAGATGGAACTGGAGGTGGAGGTTAAGTCTCTTCCGGCTCTCGTTCCACTGCACCAGAAGTCTTTTCCAAAGATGGATAATCCATAGCCTTTCCTGTATTAGTTCTCTCTGCCTGGAAAACCCTTCCCACCCTTCTTCAGCTAGATAACTTGAATACATTCTTCAATATTTAGTGGAGGTGTTTTACTTATGAAGCCCCAAGTTGGACTAAATACGCTTCTCCTGAGCTCCACTGGCATCTTTTTCACTCCATTACAGCACTTATTACACTCTAGTGTAATTTTTTCCTTGTCTTTCTTCCCAGATAGACCATGAACTCCTCAATAGCAGGGACTGTCTTCAACATCTTTAATTCCCCAGTGCCTAGAACAGAGCTGGGCATAGAAGGGGTTCTCACTGAGTAATTTTTGAGCTGTACTAAGCAGAGTTAAAAAACACCACAACAAAACTTCTAAACCAGCATTAGCTGTGAATTTATAAACACTAGAATTAAATAACTACCTTCATAAGAAAAGCATTTTCCAGGTCTGCTCAAATATTGTTGTCTGTTATATTCCTTGCCCTGAGTTAGTCTCTTGGAACAAAAAGCAGATTCTGGAAGGGTGACAGGACATAAGAAAATACAAACCGTGACTGCTGCTGAAAATTCCAGATGGGGGAATCTGTGTTTTCAACCACTTGGGTGTATATAGGAGATGGCTCATCGGCTGTCACAAAGGATACACAACAACTGGGTACTGATACTTTTTGCTCCGTCAAGGGGATTCCTGAAATAGAATATAATGGAGTGACTGTACCTTACATTACCAAAAAGAATGCACTGGAAGCCTCCCATTATAGAGGTACAAGCAGGACTATTTCCAGCCCTCTCCACCGCTGGGTCTTTACTTGATTACCTGCCTCTATCTGAAATGTTTCCAGTGACCTCTCTGCTACTGCAACTGTCCTTTCAAGGCCCAGTTAATAAATATTCCCCAGAGACAAGCGACTTCTCTTGGAGCTCCTACTTGCCTGCACTTTGTGGGATGATGGAAAATACTGGATTGAGAGGCAAAAGATAAGACAGGACTGCAAAGAGCCCTGGACTTAGAGTCAGATGATCAATTATCAGCTCTGTCATATACATTTTGTGTGACCTTGAGCAAGGACTTTCTAGGCCACAGCTTCCTCAACTGTAAAATGGGGCAGATTAGGCTTACACCACCTAAGATGTTGTAAGGATTAAAAATAAAAATAGTAGGTAATACTTACATATAACTTACTGGGTGCCAGGCTCTGTTTTAAGTACTTTATATAGATTATCTCATTTAATCCTTACAACAAGGAGCGCTGGTGGCTCAATGGTTAAGTACCTGGCTGCTAACAGAAAGGTCAGTGACCCTCCAACTACGCAGGAGAAAAGACCTGGTGATCTGCTCCTGTTAACGATTACAACCTAGGAAACCCTATGAGACAGTTCTACTCTGTCATATGGGGTTGGTACGAATGGAAATCCACTCGACGGCACACAACAACAACAACCCTTTTAACAACCCTATGAGACGGGTACTATTATTACCCTCATTATGTAGATGAGAAAACTGGGGTACAGAAAGATTAAATTAGTTGTCCAATGTCACAATTCACTAAATAGTGAAACTGAGAGTCAATATTCAAGCATTCTAGCTCCAGAGTCCATTCTCCAAACCATCTCCTATATTGCCTTTACTGCTGGGTTAACAATTGTAAAACACTGGGTACTGTGCTGAGGAGGATTCCTAACATTAATTTTTACAAGATCAGATTTCCAGTAGGGAAGATTCAGTCATTCATTCTTTAAAAAAATGTGAAATGAAGATGGTTGATTTGATACTAGATACTCTAACTGAGCGATGCAGATGATAACCGTTAGCCACACATGGCTATTTAACTTTAAATAAAATAAAAAATTCAATTCCTTTGTTGCATTAGCCACATTTCAAGTGCTCAACAGCCAATGTAGCTAGTGGCTACCATACTGTATCATGAAGATATAGGACATTTCCATCACAGCAGAAAGTTCTTTTGGATAGTCCTGGATAATAGAGACTCTGTATAATACAGGGAGTCCCAGGGTGGTGCAAACGATTCACACACTTGGCTGCTAACTGAGAGGTTGGAGGTTCAGGTCTACCCAGAGGCACCTAGGAAGAAAGGCCTGGCAATCTACTCCTGAAAAATGAGCCATTGAAAACCCGATGGAGTACAGTTCTACTCTGACACACACGGGGTTGCCATGAGTTGGAATCAACTCAACAGCAACTGGTCATACAATATAGACTCTACAGATTCCATAACATTCCTCCTAGCTCTAAAATGCTATGACCATCAGGATTACAGATGGAGAGAAAAGAAGAAAAAGAAGTATGTTTTGAACATAATTTATATGAGCCAGAGGAACAAACGCTGTAAATGGATTTTAACTGGTTTGTCTTCTACTTGTCTAGCTCAGGGTTTCTCCAAATCCATACTCCCACTCTACCTTGTAGGTGAAGTTCATCTTTGGGGCTCCATTCTGTTCTTTCTCTATCTGGATGATCCTTTTACTAATTACTTCTCCTATAGAGACTTTAGGCTGTCCCAGTGGATAGAAAGCAACCTTACAAACAAATTCACATGCAGGAACTGCTGATTTTACTCTCCTCTACAAGCAGTATTTACATTTACTAAGCAGTCTTCGGAGCCCTGGTGGCAAGTGGTTAAGAACCTGGCTGCTAACCAAAAAGTCAGCAGTTGGAATCCATCAGCCACTCCCTGGAAACCCTATGGGGCAGTTCTGCTCTGTTCGATAGGGTCCCTATGAGTTGGAATTGGCTCAACAGCAATGGGTTTAAGTAGCCTTTAAAAGACAGACTCAAGCACCACCTACTCTGAGAAGCCTCTTGACTCTCTAAGCAGAGTCACTAAAATGCATTTTTGCTTTGACATATCTTCCTCAACCACAAGAATTTCAATTTGAGTAGACCAATTCTTTTCAAAATTTCCCACCAAAGTAACAGTAACACAAACTAGGGAGGGATAATCTGCCTCTATCACAGCAGTTACCATACTTTTCTATAACACTGTGTGTGCTTGGGTTTCCCTCAACAGAGTAGGTGATCCTTGAATACAGAGCTAATTAATGCTTGATTCGTCTGAATTTTTAGCATAAGGCCTGGGCTTGGCACAGGGTAGGCCCAAAGTCTTTATTATAGGTTTGCAGATGCCACACTGTCCTTTGTCACAGATGGCTGCCAGAGTTGTACAATAGAGAAGAGCTGCCTTGTCTGCTTACAGTGTGCACCACCATAGGACAGAAACCTCTGCTTTGAGAGAGATCAGCAGAGAGGACCAACTGCTGTCCTGAGGCAGGACATCTAGGTTCTGGTGCACTCTGCCATTGATTTTTTTTATTTGTTTATTTTTTAATAATACTTTATGGTGTTTTTGGTGAAAGTTTACACAGCAAATGAGGTTCCCATTTGACAATTTCTGTACAAACTGTTCACTGACATTAGTTACATTTTTCAGTGTGTCAGCATTCTCTTTAGTTGTGTTCTGGTTGTTCTGTTTTCAGTGGTCTAGTTTCCTTGCCCTCTTATCTTCTCATCTTTTAGAGTAATTTGTTTTAGAATTTAATTTTGTTGTTGTTGTGAAGAATATATACCAATTTAAAACATACACCAATTCAACCATTTCTATACATATACAATTCAGTGACATTGACTACATTCTTCAAGTTATGCAGCTATTCGCACCCTCCTTTTCTGAGTTGTTCCTCCCCCATTAGCACAAACTCACTACCCTCTAAACTTCCTATCTAATCTTTCGAGTTGCTGTTGTCACTTTGATCCCACATAGACAGTACAATACTCAAGGCAGACATTCTTTACTAGTTAAGCTAAACTACTGTTTACTTTCAAGAAGACTTCAGGGGATATTTTTGGCTTAACATTTAAAGATTATCTATTTAAATAGCTATAAAGCAATAGTTTTAGGGGTTCATTTTGCCTCCATGGTTCCAAAAAGTCTGGAGTCCGTGAGAATTTTAAATTGTCTTCTGCATTTTCCCCTTTTTGATCAGGATTCTTCTACAGAATCTTTGATCAAAATATTCAGTAATAGTAGCTGAGCACCATCCAGTTCTTCTGGTCTCATGGTAAAGGAGGCAGTTGTTCATGGAGGCCATTAGCCACCCATTCCACCTCCTCCGCCTATTCCTGACTCTCCTTCTTTCTCTGTTGCTCCACGCAAACGGAGACCAGTTGTCGTGCCTTGGATTCTGCCATTGATTTAATGTGACATATTGGGTAAAACCACCTCATTCTGGCTCTCTGGGCTTCAGTTTCCTCATCTGAAAAAAAGTGCTCTCAAATTACTTCCCACAACAAAATTCTATGATTCTAGATATATATCAACAGAAAAGCACCACTCAGATTCTTTCAAACCATTCCCGTCTCCCTTTGAGGTTTGTCATTTTGAAGCTACTATTTGCTAAAGGGAGCTCTGGTGGCACAGTGGTTAAGCGTTCAGCTACTATCCAAAAGGTCAGCAGTTCAAATCCACCAGCCGCTCCTTGGAAACCCTAGGGGGCAGTTCTACTCTGTCCTATAGTGTCGCTACAAGTCTCAATTGGCTCGACAGCAACGGGTTTTTGGTTTATTTCCTAAGGGCCTTGAGACAAAACTACTATTCTGACTTTGGAGGAAAACTGTTTCTTAGTCTTAAACTGAAACACTCCTTTTAGCCAAACAGGCAGGTGATAAATCAGCCTGGGAAAGCAAGTCTGTCAGGTTTCCCTGGCTCTCCCCTTGTGAGTGGAAATTCAGCTGGGCCTATTTACGTTCTGGAAAAGGTCAAGTTCTGAAACACTTTTGAAGGTAGCCCAGAAAACAGCTGCTATACCTCCTACAGGGCTGGGACATACATTGAGAGCAGTTAAGAGGACCTGAGGGGAATCAGCTTTACCATTTTTAAGAATTTTCACTGAATTTCCTGTGTTTTATGTAAGTTGGAAAAGTAGTTCTATGCATTAAGAAAGGCATAATGTTCCAATGAGATTAAAATAATAATTCCTTATATGTGGAGAACACTTTATAGCTTGTAAACTGTTTTCTTACACACTAAATGTGTGCTGATGACATCCCTGAGAATCACACAAGATAGGTGTCTCTACCTGTATTGTACAAATCAGGCAACCGAGGAGGTAAAGTGGCTTGCTCAAATCACACACCTGGTTAACTAGCATTTGGAAGATCCAGTCAGGTTTCCTGATTCCTACCTCTGGGTTTTTCCATTGAAATAGTTCTTATTAATTCTACCTGGGTCGCTACGAGTCGGAATTGACTCCACGGTAACAGGTTTGGTTTTCTTTGGGTTGGTTAAGACATGAACAACCCCACCTGGTCTGGAGAGACTGAAATGGAAGCTTTCCTCTCAAGGAATGACTAACTTCTGTGTTAATAAAATAGTTGAGTTCCATTAAACTAACATTAACTGACACCTCCTCTGTATCAAGCCCTTGCACAGATGAGTCAGATTAGATTCTTCATGGGGGGAGGGGTTGCAGACACAATGATAATAATATTGTATTATTACCTTACAATACACTAAGATAAAAACTATGCCAGAAGCATAGGGAGCTGTGGGAACCCAAAGGGGCACCTAACCCCCCCGCCTGGATGGGACAAAGAGAGTCTCTGAAAGCAATGATACTGAATGTGTGATTCTGTTTTTTATTGCAGTATAACTTACATTACCTCAAATTCCT